TTTTTTTTTTTTTTTTTTTTTTTTTTTTTTTTTTTTTTTTTTTTTTATTTACATATGCTACCCTTATGAGAACCAAAACACCGATCATCTTATTTGTGAAATCCGTTTCTACAAAATGAGAAAAGGAAGTACCAGCATAGGTGTGCAATGACGAAATCGAATGTAAATTGTCGTTCGTTTCGGCGGACATTAAAAATGAGAGTGGTTTTTTCTCGCTTTTTTCTTTCATTCCATTACATTAGATAAATGTATATGCAAAAACCGTCGAAATATGTGCAAAAAGCTGACAATGGGGGGAATAGTACTTGTTAGATTTTTTTGTTTACAATAACATATGCGCTTTGAAAAGCATAAGAGTTTCATGATTATAAATACGACCCATTGGAATCACTTAAATGGCACGATCGAGAGCTTCGATCCGAAAATTCTATGTTTAAACTTCTCTGCATATTGTTTTGAATACATTACATAATTTCAATACATTATTAAAAACTGTCTTTCTCCATTTCCCTCTCTCCCTCTCATACTCTCTCTCATTCCCTCTCTTTCTCTCCTACTCTCTCAGTCTTTCTCTACTTCGTACGTTTTTCTTTTTTTTAAAATTGTTATTACTAGTTTTGTTTTCTTTGAACTCATATAATTAATTAATACGTGTTCAAATTTGATCACAACGGCATTTAATTATATTTATATATAAGTAAATTTATTCCGAAAACTGAAAAACTTCATAAATATTGCTGATTCAAATAATTTTCTTCTATATAGAAAATTGCAAAAAAAGTATAATTAGGAATGAAACATAAAACAAAACCCATTAAAAAAAAAAATAACATGTGAAATACTATTTCGATAATTTTCACAAAAATGGGATAGCATTTTTTATAAGGTACGCAAGTATATTAAGCTGCCACTTGTCCATCATTTAATATTTTGCTCTCGATCTTTTCTTTTCTTTGTGTAAGATTTATATATATATATATATATATATATATATTATATATATTGTATATATATTGTATATATATATATGTATTATATATATGTATATCTATATATATATGTATATATATATTATATATATACATATATATGTATACGTATATACATACGTACACACACACGTACATATATATATATGCATATCACATAATGCGCTTGTACATACATATATGTACATATATATATACATAAATACATATATACATATACATATATATATATATATAAAATATGTAAATAGTTTCATTTATTTGACAGACACTATTCCCCACCCCTTTTTCTACCAGCACCCCATCCTTCATGCATACAGCCAAGACTCTCGCTACTTTCACTATCATTATACAACTCACAAACTTTCCTTCACGCATAATCAAAAGCACGAGAAGATGCATGAAACTGCGCGCAATCATTCTTTCTCTCTCGTGTTACATGCACACGCGTTTAAAAGACGAATCGATTCAAATTGTCATTATACTTTTCTGACTTTTTATTTATTTTTTTCTTTTATTATTTTTTTTCGTCTTTTTATTCATTCACACACTCACACATACATACTAATTCTCATTTATATCTCATTCAAATTTAATCTTTTTTTCATGTCTCTAACAGCAATGATCACGCTATTTATCAATCTTTTCCTCCATTACCTTTTCTATTTTTGAATCTTTTATCATTTTTGCTTTCATCCATTCTTTCATACATCAACTTTCGTCACATTCATTCATTAATCGGTTTTTCTTCTTCTTGCTCTCTCTTTTTTTAGCAATGTCTTTCTTCAGTTCTAGTTTTGCCTGTGCTTCTAAAGTCGAGACTCTTGGTGGCCCACGTTTTATTTTCTTTCTTTTTTGTCTGCAAGCGAAACCACCGTGAGCGTACGAGCCGTGTTACATCATCTTTTATTATTTTTTTTTGTTATCTTATTACACGACGCGGCGCAATTCGAATAAGATTCAATGGAAGTGTGTGTTATCTACAAAATATCTTAATTACTCGCTAATTACAGCACAAAACATGCAAATATAAAAATTTGCATCATATTATCGTTAATATTTATATATATAATCGTCACCCAATATTCTTTATCGTTCACATCGCACCATTTTAGGTTCGTCAAAACAGATTTCCTTCTTAGTTGTTTAAACGTCATTTATCTCGTTCCCTTTTTTTTTATATATATTATTATGCTGCTTAACGATTATTTCATTTTTCTCATCTTTTTAACATGTTATGTTTTTCATTTTTACCCCCTTCCCATCTTCCCTTTATCACTACACCCCGTTTATATCTCTACGAGTTCTTATTTTTCCATTTTTCGTCTTTTCTTTGTTCACAGTTTAGTTCTTTCTCGCATTCTTTTTTCCTTTTTTATTAACTATGAAACATCTTACACTATCGATATTATTCCAATTCATGAAGTAAGAAAGATATACTCGACGCGTATTCATATTAAACAGCGTCGCAGTATATCTTAACTTACTAACACCGATAATTAACTTTCTTACTTTTCTGTTGTTTTCTTTTTTATTATTCGATATAAAACTACAACCACGTGGTGTTATATTATATCGACACTTTGTTCCTTTTCTACACACTCTAAATCCCGCATTTTATTTTTTCTCATCAATTTTCCTTCTATATAATCTTGTTTTTTCACTCGCACTCGTTTTAACTATCTTTCTAACATTTCTCGCTCTCATATTTCCTAAAATGAATAGCAGCAACAGCAGCTTTTTTCTACAAGCTGTCTCTCGTGTCTCTTATTTGGACACAAAAATTAATCACTTTTTGCACAAGGGGGCTAAACAAACAAACCCGCGGATCAACCAAGAACGAAAAAAGAAGAGGAATATACCATCCATTAATAAAATAAAGTTACGTGCCCCTGGAACACTGGAACAATACACGAGCAACGATCGCAGCCACCTGCTGATCTAAAATTTGACTCATCACTAAGGCGAGTAATCGTGATTCGTGTTGTAATAGCAGAGTTCTGTTATCAGGATGCCTAGCAAGGTTCAGCAATGTGCCGGCTGCACGTCGTAGCATGTCCAAACTTGTGCCCATTGATTCGGGATTATCACGCAGTGCTGCTAATCCATGTTGATTTGCAACTCCTAATGCGCTTGATTCTGCCTGCTCGATGAATGCTACCAATAATGCTACACAAGGTGTTTGCAAAGCAATTGTACGAGCCACACCGCTATCTGCTGCGGATAGAAAATGTAGCAAATTCACGCCAAATTCGCGCAATACTTGTTCTTCGCTTCGGCAAAGTAACCTGGTCAATACCGAACAAAGTCTCTGGAGTCTCGAGTATGGAGGTGTAGCAACCACCAGATCCACATTGCATTCTGTTACGCAAAGCTTACATAAAGCCTCCAGCGCTAATCTTTGCGGTGATAAAGAAGAATTCGGACCAACTGTAGGAAAAGGATCTTGTCCATGAGCAGCCGGACACACGGCCCAATGTAAAAGACCATCCAATACCGGTCGAGATATTTCTTCCGGATGTTGACTTAAATCCATATGACCAGCTATATTTGCTGCCATGACAAGTACATTTTCTCTTATGTGATGCAAAAAATCCCACCACCATTCACTCTCTCCTTGTAAGCTACTACATGAGTCCGCGAAATCTGCATCTTCTTCGCGATCATAGTTTCTTGTCTTCTGTGTCCTCACTGGATGCTCATGATGCAATAACAATAACTTACCAAGAAGACTTAAAAATGTCACATTTTTAGCGAATTCAGCCTCATTACCCGGGATAAATGTGAGATTCCTTAGTATTGTGGATAAACATACACAACGTCGAGCCAGATTATCTTGTGTTTCCGTAACAAGATATAAACTTGCTTCGTCCCTTGAATAACTTTCATCCTCATAATCGCTTATTCGTCTTCTTTTCAACGTACCTGCTGGATCTCTTATTTTTAATCTTGGTCCCTCCTTATTATCATTTTTCATTACTGATTCTTGTTCCTCATTTTCAATTTTAATCTCATTTTTCTCCATTTCAATATTATTTGTTGTATCATTCAAACCATTTTGTGCTAATATAAGTTCCTCTTCAGACTTTTGCATGTCTGAAAAGTGTTCACCCATATTATTATTTACTTTTGCTTCTGTATCACATTCTTTCTTAAATCCGTCATTCTTTTTCTCGAATAATTCTCTCGTAAGATCGTTCATCTCAACTGGTTCCTTTTTAATCCTTGATAAAACATCACTTAAAGTTTTTGTCTTCTTCTTCTTGTCCAATTGCTTCTTCTCATTTGTTTCTTTTGGTTTCTCCCCAGATTCGGTCATTTTTTGAGAGAATTCTAGTGATTCGAGCGTACCAGAATCTGCTTTGGTTTCATCTTTCAAGTCTGTACACTCTACTTCCTTTTGCAGCAAAGGTGGTTTTTCATCTCGAAGGAGACGTGCGAATGGCACTGTTCCTATTTCAGATTGAAAACACGTTACTATATATTTAGTCGTGTTATTATCGACTTGCCAAGGTTCAGTTTCTGATTCACAATCTTGATGATCCCAAGATCTTCTTGTGTCTAAAACAAATAAATCGTCGTCTCTCGGGATAATTTTTACCGGACGACCTCGTCTGGATAAAAGCGTGTAATTTGATGATGAAAGTAATTTGGTTCGATCTTCAGGATCAATAGGACGCGTTACGGCACCAAGATCGACTTCTGGACCATCTGCTGATTGATTCCAATTACGATCGTCTTCATTCACAGGTGATTCAAACATATCAGATAAAGAACGTGAGAAATGTTCCAGTAGAACATCCAAAAGCCCAGGCAAGTGTGCCAACCCAAAATAACTTACCTGTAGAATTCATTTTGTTATAATTTAGTATTTTCATTTATTGATCATTGTAAAAGAATAAAAAGATATTAAGATGAAACTTACAGAAGAATCATCGAATAATAAAATATTTAACACATCAAGAGCCCAACAGCTCTCAGCTAATAAGCCTGATCTTAAAGCCATCATAATACGCCAAGCTTCTATTGGTGCTACATCAGCACGTGTAAGTTTCCGGCGCTTATACAGAAGTGGGGTTATTGCTTCCACACTATCCGGAGGGAATGTCATTTCTCTTTTCGATGTAGGTTGCTGGTTAATCATGGGATTTATACCAAGCTGATTCTGTAAATCAATATCAATTTATACACAATAATACGTTAAAAAAGAAAATAAAGCAATACAAAATTAAATCAAAAAAATAAAAATAAATTAAAAAGATAATTAAATAAAATTTTTAAAAATATATTTAAATAACAAACATAGAATAAATTACCTGATGATTTCCAGGTGCAGGATAAAGAGGGGACGGTTGATTCGAATAACGATGATCCACGGTGGAGGTGCATGAGCTATAGCATTCAATGTTGGTTGAGGAGTAGTTCTATTTGGTTGTTGACTACCCCATTGTTGATTATTAGCAAGTCCTGACGAAGGTGTAGAAGAAGCAGATTGTGGTGTTTGCTGTTGCGATTGTTGTTGTTGTTGTTGTGTCTGAGATTGTGGTTGTTGAGATGGATATTGAACTCTATTATTTCCACTAGTACTATTGTATTGATTTGTTGTATTTGGCCATCCTATAATTAATGAATTTTTTTAATATTCTTATTCATACTTATAATTTAGTTATAAAAATAATGAAATTTATTTACCTGGATACGCTGGTCGTTGTTGATTATACTGAGGATATTGTTGATCTTTGGCAAAATCTGGATGACGTCGAGGAGGATTAGGACCTGGGGGTGGTGGTGGCATATTTTTATTTGCACTTGCACCACCTGAATATATCTGAGTTCCTCCAGGAGCTCCATATCCTCCCTTTAAATTATAATATCGATTATAATATTTAGTTGAATGACATAATAAAAAGATATAATAATAAGATATAATAAAAATAATATAATAAAAAATATAATGAAAAGACAAAAATAAAAAATATATAATATTACCTGTTCTTGTCGATAATAATCTTGAGGGCAAGAATAAGATGAAGCAGCAGAAGGCTGTGAAGGTGAAGAAGGTTGGCTAGTTGCTGTTTGTTGTGGTACAGTAGCTGGATGTGCTTGTGGTGCAGATGGATAGCTATTACTTCTTGCATTAGGTGGTGTTCCTGCTGAGTAATTTGCAGGTTGTTGACTACTACTGTATCTATTATATATATCTTGTCCACCAGCATTATTTGGTGGCATATTTCCTCCTGGATATCCTCTGTAAGATTCCTGGAAGTTATACTCTACCCTTTTATTAAATAAAACTTTAAAATAATTTTAATTTCTACCTGTCAACATCTGGTACATAAGGTGAATAATGCGATCGGGGTGAATAAGGTTGATTGAATTCTCCCTGTTGTGACAATGTATTTGCTTGGGGTCGGATGTATTGATCTTGTGGATAATTTTGATAGGAACCTGTATTTTGGTAACTGCCTTGTTGTATGCCTTGAATAAGATTATTCCAATATCAAAATAAAAATTCAATTATTTTAAATAATAAAAAATAAATAAAACAAAACTTGTATAAGTTTTAAAGATAAATTAAAAAAAAATATTTAAAGAAAATTTGGTTATATATTGTGAAAGGAGACAAGGGTGAGAGAAATACCTGAGGCTCGTAGCGGACCAGGGTGGGGCGTTGCGTTCGACTTGCGAAAAAGGCGTCCCACGCCGTCGTCGAACGGATTCGTGCTATTCTGCCCGCCCTGGTTCAAACCACCTACCAGAACATATTCTCTCAACCGCAATTCCTTTCACATGATTAATAAAGTGTTCACATTAAACACTTTTCCAAATCAATCAATCATTATTCAAATTTTGTATTTTATTTATTTAAAAATACTGAAAATAAATAATAGAAAGAAATTTTTTACCTTGATGCGGAGAAGGTGCACTACTTTGACTGGGAGGTCTTGGAGGAGGAGGCGTATATTCTGACGAAGGTCCTCCTGGTGTACCTCCACTATAACTACTTTGATAACTTCCATAACCATCCATAGAAGCATTGCTTGATCCAGCGGCAGGGAACGAATCTTGTGAATTGGAAGATCCTAAAAATATAAAAATCATATTATATAAGTAGTATATAAGTAATTTAAAAAAAAAAGGTATTTTAAAAATTTACCTGGTGAAGGTACAGAAGCAGTTGCTTTTGATGGTTCTTTTTTGAACCAGCTTCAACTTGATTTATAATAGGCTGAGGATCCACACCTCCACGATCGAAGTGGCATTCATATGCCAGCAAGTGCTTGGTATAATGTTTTCGTAATGTATATGCTGCACTGCTACTTGCTCCAATGCCCAATAAACCAGCTATATCTTTCCATGTTTTGTTTTTGGTCACCTATAGAAAATTAACATCAAAAATTTTCTCATTAATATTTATTCAATTGTTCATTTTTTTAGCAGAGAATCTAAACAGACAAAAATCTGTATTTTGAAAAGTAACAAAGTAACAAATAAAAGAATATATAAAAAAAAATATCACGGCGGCTATCAATATAAAAGGAAATCAAATATTAGTTTGATAAAAAATTTTTTTTTCTGTATATACAAATACCTCGATTCCTGATCATGCAAGTATGAAAAATGAAACGAATAGACAAAAGTACAATCGAAACGAATTACCGTTATACATTGATACTAAAAGTTTATTCTTCGCTGAATATTAGAATAATTCCATATAGCACCAAGGTTTGTAGATCAGGGCGTTTTCCATACGTGTTGAATGACTACTTTAAGAAAAGACGAGTTAAGCTTCTTTTTTTTTCATAATTTTATAAACAGTATACGAGAAAAAAAAACTATATAGCAAAAAATATAATATAAATCATGCACAATTCAGCGCACACAGAAACAAAGCATATTTTATAATTGTATACATCAAATATATAAAAAGAAATAAATAACTATTGATATAATTGAAAATGCTAATAAGAAACAAAAACTCATTGATCGAGTTATTAATGTATGTTTTATGGCATGTATCAAATGTACACAATATCAAAAAGAACAAAAACACGAAACACATAGAGAATTATAAAAAAAAAAAAACTACTATAAAGACACCGAGGGCTAGATGGAACTACACTGCACCTTGCATACCTCCATGAAGCCCCCCCTCTCTTTCACGTAGAGGTATAGCCGAAATAAGTCGAGGGGGTTCTTGGAGATGGTAGGACAGCTAGTAATAGGTGTTCTTCGTTCTTCCATGAAATTAACTAATTTATCCAGCCATGTTCGTCGTTCCATTGAATCATCCATTTCGTATAGCTTTGCTAAACTGTCTGGTTTCTGAAATTATTATTATGAAATTTGTTAATTTTCTCTGTATTAAATATAGTTCTGATTTTTCTTGTACATTTGATGTACTATTTTCTAAGGATACTTTCATTTACAATGTCATTTAATTGCTTATAATAAGTAAAAATTGTATTTATATGAATATGTTTTAAAATAATTAATGTCATAAGCTACATATTTCATGCAAAAAGTAATGTTTTTTAAATGATAAAATAAATAAAAGCGAAAAATATATATGTATATAAATATATATATCATGCGATTATACAAAGCAAAATATAAAAATAATGTAAAAATTTTTGCGAAAGATTAAAAGATGTAAAAATAAGCAGGTTTTAGGACAATTATATTTATCATAGAATATATTTTTTTGTTCTTGAGTTTATATCTTTGTTTGGTTAATATCAGAGATTGTTATATAGATAAGCGTATATACGAAATATAATTATTGTATAATTTTTAATAATCACATTACGATAATATTCCATCTGATAACGCAAATGAAACAATGATACATAGATGTTTCTGTAAAGGTACGATGTTAAAATAGAGAAAGTTAAAATAATTACATTTGCTAAGCAAATATCAGGATGTCTAGTTAAAACGAAGCACGAAGCATTCAGTGTAAATAGTATGTTGTGCAACGGTATAATAAATACTTATAGTGAATAAACAGTAACCTTAGATCTGTACGGGTCTTGAGGCACATGACTGTTAAATACCTGTAAAATATATAAAATATTGAAAAGCCGAAAAAAACTATAGTATAAAAACACATTATCCCTGATTGTTTATTATTTTTAGCATTTTCATGTAGAAACATTTAAACATGCAAAATAAAGATACAGATATACATACGAAAATAGTAATCATTATGTCATATTCTTAAAAATTATGTAATGAAACAAAATACATACAGGACTAGCAGGAGTACGTGGCCAACCAGGACTGTTCATATCAGGATATTCTTCGTGTATCGAGTTAATACTCGCTGCGCCAGGTGATGGAACTGTACTTTGTGGTGTAGTTGGATGACTGTGATATCCTCCTATCATTTCTTTCCGTACCTTTGGTGTAAATGCTGGATCTTCTCCAGAAGCTGTATTAAAATAAAATTATGCATTTTCATAAATAAAATGAAATATATCTTTTAAATTTTTATACTAACCAGCTGATGCATTTGACAATGTAGATTGTTGAGAACCTTCATCTAAAGATGTACCATCAGGACCAGTTGTTATTACAGATGTAACAGTGCCACTTGAAGTAGAGGTAACATTTATACCTGAAGTACCTATATAAATAAATATTTTCAATTATTATTCTATTAAAAAATTATATGAAATAAAATATATGATAGAATATATACCTGAAGCAGTAGTAGTTATACCACTATCATTAGAAGTTTCAGTAGTAAGATCTGCAGAATTATGACTGGCTGGTGTTGGTGTTGAAGTAGGATGTGAGTTAGGTGTAGTACTTGGTGGAGGCATTGGACTTCCTTCATGATTGAGAGGTGGTGTGGCCGCAGGAGTATGCAAATGTGGTACAGCTGAGCTAGTTGGTGGTGGCTGACTACTAATATGATTAGGTGATGGTGGTGGAGGACCCATTGAACTTGCTGGTGGGCCCATATTACCAATCACAGCAACTCCAGGAGTACCTGGTGGTACCATACCTGTTGTACTACTACCTCCATAAACTTGAGGTGGACCTGGACTAGGTGGCATTCCTGGTGGTACACTATTAAATCCCATTTTATGCTACAAAAAAATAATATATTTTACATAATTAATATTAAATTTTTATTATATTTATTACTTTAAAAATATATTTTACTTACAGTATATGGAGGATATTGCACCAAATTATTAGGTCTATTAGAAGCCTGATATTGATTATTAGGTGGTGGTTGTGAATTAGCTGGTGATGGATATCCTTGTGGAAATTGTACATGTGGACGTGGAGGTGGATAGGTACCTTGTGTATGATAACCTCCAGGCTGGCCTGCAGCCGTCCCACTAGCTGCATATCCCATACCACCACCCATTGGATTCATTCCACCAAGGCTTGCTGAACCAGGTCCTGGTTGAACAACACCAGGACCAGTATTGTTCATTTTATAACTATGCATGTGTGGTGAAGGACCCAATGGTTGTTGGTATGCTCCTAAAAATATATATTTCTCATATTCTTATATAAAAAAAGGCACATAGATACAAAAATAAATACAAATTTTACATCTTTTACTTACCTTGAGTTGTCATAGGAGAATGGCTCATTCGTGCTGGTCCACTACCATCTGACTGGCTACTTGACGGACGTGGAGGCATCTGAACGTTTTGTTGACCTATTAAAAATATATATAATTTAATTTGTATATATTCAATTAAATAGAATTAAATTACCGAAAATATAAAGACTAAAAATACACAAACCAACAGCAGGGGACATTGAGCGAGAACCTGTAGATCCTGTAGGAGAAGGGGTTGGTCTCATCCCCTGTGAATTAGGTGTTCCCGGACAAGCAGGTCCATTCGAACTATCGTTACTGTTTTGTCCAGATAACTCCTAAATTATAATATAAAATACAAAATATAAACACTAAAAATATATTATAAAACATATTTTATTCAAAACATTCTTTTATAACTGTAAAAAATAAAATAATTATACCTAACATTTAAAATTATATTTGATTTTTTATTATTATATTATTACAAAAATTTATAGGATTTATATTAATATTTAATAAAATTAATATTTATACAAAATAATTAAAATGCTTATAATGCCATAAAAAAAATTAGAGTCAATTATGGGAATAGAAATTATTTTTAAATAATTCTTTGATGTATAGCATTTTTCAATCAATTTATTAAATTTTACATTTGCTAACATTAATAAAAAAAATCAAATTAGCAAATTAATATAAATATTTATATAAACATATAGAAATAAGAATAAATATAAAATAAAATAAAATGTCTCATAAAAAATCCACTTTTTGAAACATTCATGTTCCTTTTATGTATGATATTTTTTTTATATTTGAAAAGCGAAAAAATTTGGAAATGCACTCTATACACGCGGCCATTCGCTACTAATCGTACGATGCAACATAACACGTCATATACACGCGCATGTTTTCAACGATATTTAGCATATATGTACATACGTATATGGAAGGGGAGAAGAGGAGGAGGACGAGGAGGAGAAAATATGTATGTGTACGTAAACCTAGCATAGTCGTCACAATGATACATTGGGAGAGTGCGCGCGGGTATATTGGAAGATAGGGAAGAGGGAGGTCAAGAGAAAGAGAAAAAAGATACAGATAGCTTGAAAGAGAAAGAGAAGAAAATAAGGTAAAAGATAGATAGATAGATAAATAGATAAAGATGAGGAACGAAAAAGAGGAATAATGATACAGACAAAGAAAGACGTAGAAGAAAAGAAGAAGAAAAAAGTGCATCATTACACCTACCAAGCGATGGACAAATCATCCTTATAGAAGATTAGAGACTTCGGATGTATCACGGAACATATAGTATATACTGTATCGGACACAAGGACTCTCAGCATGACGCGAGAATCGAAAGAGAGGCGTTACCCCGCGCACTACGACAAAACCCACCATAGATTTGCGTGTTTCCCGTACGATTTTCACAAGTTTTACGGGAATCTCATGTAATAATAACACACTATATTTAATCATGTGTAATAGAGAAAGTCAGTGGTTTAATAAAACCATATGAAAACAGATATAATTCTTGTTTGTTACTATAGAACTACTGTTGGTTCACTGTGTACTTCGACCATCGCATGTTGTGTCAATAAGTCTCAATGTTTCGTATCGTAGGTACAACCCTTTAGTACAATTATAAATTGGCTACATTCGATCACGTAAATCATATATTTAATAGGTTAGAATCGGACAGTTGATCGTCTACGTACGTGTACGTGGCCGGGAATAACTAAAAACGTGATTCTTTTTATCGAGTGTTCCGTCACTTCGGTTTACAGATTTCGCGTCTAGCTGTTCGTTGGAGGGCGTTCTTTCGTGGCGCGGCAAGCGTTCGGAAACTGTCGGCTATTTCCGTCGCTCTTCAACGAAGAATACCCGTGTGCTCCAAAAAGCCCGAGAATATATGAGAAAAAAAACCACTAAAGTATAGAAACTACAGAAAATAAATATTTTTCTTAAATAAATTCAGGAAAAACCCATAACTTGATTAAATATAATTAAATATAATCCCATAAATCCCATAAATTAATTAAATACTATTTATAAATCTTTATTATTAGTAAAATTTTTTTGGTTATATTAATTATACTACGTATTATTTTTAATTATTTTACTATTATTTATTATTACTTATTATTGAAAATTTCTAACTTTTTTATTTTTATAAATTTATATCTATAATTATATATATATATATATATTTATATATTCAACATTATAAATTATAATAAGTCAAAATAAAGTAAATAAATTCACAAATAAAAAATTTAAAAATATTTTATATTAATATTTTTTTTATTAATATTATGATATTAATTATATCGCAAGTAATTGATTCCTATTAAAAATTTTTATAGAAAGCAGAAATCTATTAAATAATTTAATAATAAATAATAAAATTTATTATATCAATTAAATAAATAAATCACTTAGATTTATTGACAGATAATGTTACAAGCAAATAGAATTCAATTAATATCATTTAAAATAATTATTAGTCGTTTAAAATATTCGTCATTTTTCAGCAGCGTCATATGAGAAGTTCGATAGCATGTCGCAAAGTGACAGTTGCATGATCTAACGAACCGAATATAGCTGAACGATATAAAACGTCAGAAGTGGTGGGGAAACTACCTCAGATACTCACTTTTCTCCCCACCACCGATTTGAGCGAATCACATACTTGCTCTCGCTTGCTTCTCTATACTCAGGTACCTGTGTAATACTCTTGCTTCTCGCACTACCCGCCCATCTACATTGAAAGAAGCAAGAGATCGAATACATAAAGGAAGAGAGATGTTTGCCATACGTTCATGCGAATGTATTGAAAAGAGACAAATAGACAAACGGAGTGGGGAAGAAGAGGAGAAGGGGGAGAAGGCAGAAAGGGGAAGTACTAATATCTGGGGCTCCAGCGGCCGCGCAACTCGCGCCCTAATCGAACTCTACAAGTCGCTTATTCTCCATCCCCACTTCCTACACCGTGCCCCTCCTATAGATGGGCAACCCATACTCGAGAGATCTCCCTTTCGCTCACTCATGTTTGCTCTTTTCAGGAGAGAAGTATCGAAGTTCTCCCGTCCACTGTATCTAAGATCAAATGGCATTTTTATGCAAGGTGAAATTAAAATTTGCTTTGCAATGCCAGTTATCATTCCATATAAAAACTATAATACTTTTAGTTATATCATTTTTGGACGATCAAAAATCGAATCACTAATACCAAGAAATAATAGTAACACGTGTACACGTGTATTCCTGCGCATGTGCTTTTTAAGATCAAAATAAATCACTTTTAGTAGAAAATCAATTAAAAAAGTATTAAAAAATTTTAACTTGTTTTGTATTATATTATATTATATTATTGAAATATTTGTTAAAAAAATTTTATATATTTTATATAGTAAATTTCAATTACTAATAATCTTATATAATTTGAGACATGCTATTATTTGAAATTCTTTAAAATAAAATTATATAAAATTTTAACACTCACCCCTGAATCAATTCCTTGAGTATTAGGAGTTGTTGATCGTTGCTGTAGATTGTGAAAACTCTAAACATAATACAAAATTATTGTAAAAAATTAATTTTTTTAATTTTATATATTTAACTTTTTAAAAAATTTTCAAAGTAAACAATTTTTTTTTAATAATACACCAAAATAAATAATTATTTTAATATTTTTTATTTACATGTACAAATTATTATAGAAAATAAAAATTCTTTTCTCTACGATATTAATTGATTAGAATAAAATTATATTATCTACATATAACTTACTTGAGATTGGCCAGTTGACTGTGGTTGTGGTGATGCAGAAGGTGGTGGTGCTGGAGATTGAGAAAGAGCACGTTGTGGTGACTGACTGGAAGGATTGGTTTGATTGGCTGGAGGTGGTGGTGGATTTGGTGGTCCACCTTGATTCCAACCTCTTTGTTCTGTATAAAGACTGGAAGGATGGCTAGTTTGCGTAGTATATGAATTTAGCTAAAAAAATATAAATAATTATTATGAATAAGTATTATTTTCAATTATTTTCTAATTATTATTAAATACCTGATGATGACTGTATGGTGCATGAGGTCTTGCAGGAGAAGAATAACGTTGTGTATATTGTTGATATGGCATAGGAGTTGGAGAACTAGGTCCTCCAGGACCTGCATGTAATCTTGGTGATCCCTGTATATTATAAAACATATTTAATTATATAATTATGAAAAGATAATAAATCATACATTTTAGAAAATATATAATATATGTAAATTATTATTATAAAATAATTTTAAGTTACAATTAAAATATATAATTTAAAATATTAAAGTATTATACATAATTAAATATAAATATAAATATTTCTACCGTTTGTGGAGGACGTTGGCCAGGTTGTGGATACACTGGAGGGACAACTGGAGGTCGTTGAATAGGCCATGGTTGTTGATATGGCTCTGGCCCCATTCCAGGATAATTTCCATGAAAACGATGTACAGGTGTAGATGCTTGAAGTAACTGATTTAATGTAGGTGTTGGACCAGTAGCTTGTGATATACTTTGTCCTGATAGAAACCTTGGTTGTCCTGGAAAACTGCTTGGTGTAGCTCCTACATATGCCAATCGTGATTCAATCTTGGAAGCTGCATAATGCTCTTCCATTTCTGCCCGATGAACTCTTTCACTTTCATGTATTAAGTGTTTACCATGATAATCCAATTGTTTTCCTGGAAAGTCTCCATGCTTTCCTATATATTCTGGTACCTGCTTACTTGGATACTCAGTCAATGATTTGGAGGGAAATTCGTTTGATTTGTTGGTATACTCCTCAGGGTAATCGCGTATAACGTTCGACGTAAACGGATGTCCGGGATGGTTTGGATGCCCGGGCGTATCGAGAGGCTCTTGCTTGCCAATAGATTCTTGAGGAGCTTGTCCAGCTTCTCTGGGTGATTTTACTTCACCGGCAGTGTGTCCACCAATGTCCTCGCGGTATTGACTCATCTCGAAACCCGTGTCCCCGCCGCGATTCACATATTTAAGCAGCTGGGCCGCGCCCCGGGATACTTTATCACCCGGCTCTGGATCCAGCTGCTGCTTCGTATTAACACTTGCACTATTCCCACCGACTTGCGGACGTTTCTGTGCACATTTCACGGACTCGTTCAGCTTCACATCGTTTTGTTGGCTCTCGGCTTGCGTCGCAGCCATGTTCTCTCCTCACGGAGCCATCGTCGTCTCATAAACTGGCCAATCGCGGGACCTCGTGTGTCTCGCGTACTATGTACTCGAAATCGAAATCCTTTTCTGTTGAATCTCTTTTATCGTACTCAAGTCTTTCCACCACATCCTCAATCAGACTAGCGAAGGCTAAGCACCGAACTAACAATTTTTGCTTCCTGCCGTTTTCAAAGTAGAAGGAACCAAAAAAAAAACTCATACACGAACGTCAAAAGCAGCGTCGCATGTACTACGCCATCTTGTGGTTACACTACAAATTACTAATATTTAACTCTCATTTACAATTTGCGACTTTTCAAAACTATATAGTAGTTTCATCAGGATTTCCTTTTAACTAATATATATTTTTGTCTCTGATGAAGATTCACCTCTATTTCTAAAATCGAGAATATGAAATGAAATCCTTGTTTAATTGTTTTAATATAAAGATCACTCATCTTATCTAATAAAATAATTTTTGCATTTATATAAATATTTTAGCATAAAAAAATTAAATCGTAATTAATTGTAATGCATATTTACATTGTAAGGGATTAAAAATAACAAAAAAATATATTAAAAAAATAAATTATAAAAAATATATTATAAAAATATATAAAAATGAAAAAGAAATAGATGATTTTAAAGAGTTAGAATAATTATTAATATTTTCGCGTAACATATTATATATTTATAACAATTCTTTTGATAATAAGTAAAAGTAATATCACGAAAATATTTATTCGTAATATAATTTTCTAATGTTTTTATTTTTTTATTTTTACACGTAAGATATTTGTTTTCGCACAAATATAAAAACTTTATAAGTAATCTATTATAACAAATTATATTATTTTTAATTTCGTATAATAATAAAAAAATAATTTATTTAATTTGTATTTTTAAATCTTTATTAAAATTTATTTAATTTATGTTTATAAATATAATTTATTTTAAATTAATTTTAAAAATAAGTATCCACAACAAAAAATAATATTGATTTTTGTTGTGAATTTTTATTAAATATTATTTTCAGTAATGTAAATAATGTATGAATTAAAATTATCATAAAATAAGAAATAATGTTTATAATTTCTGTAATAATTATAGCAATTTTAAATTCTATTTTTATTTAAATTATTTTTAAAATATAATAATTATATAAATTTTTATGAAATATATTCAAATAAATATTTAAAAAAATAAATTTATAAAAACAAACATATTTATATTATGTACTTCATAGTATACAAGTCACATAATGGCGCTTATTGCAGTTTATTACTAATAACAAGCATTTATTAATTGTATAAATTGCATAATATTAATTGTAAAAAAGCAAGCAAATGTGAACAATAATTCTGATAAGAATAATATTGTTAAAATATAAAGCAATTAATATTATATTTAATTGTGTCAGTATTTATAATTATGCGTGTACTCTTATCGCATACGTGTGTCACTATGTACATACGTGTACATGATATTTCAATCCTACGTGGCAATATTCATTAGTATGATTGTTTTCTACCTTTACTTATAGTGATATGTAGACATCAGGTATGTGATTTGTTGATACTTGTACAGTCTAAATATTTAAAATAGAAAATACATTTGTGAAACAAATATATGTAATTAAATTTATAATACATTTTATTTTCAATTACATTTTTATTATATTTTTCAGATAATTGTTAATTGGAGATCTTATGGATAAATTCTTTTTTTTTTTTTAAAAAATATTCTTTTTTGTATATATATATATATATATATATATATATATATATATAT